CCGATACCCATGCCAGTCAGACGCTCAATACCAGAACCATGCACTTACAGTCCTAAAGCAATCGGAGTGCCTATGGTTTTTAATGTAATCAGTTATATTTATATTTCACTTTAAGTCACTGGCCCTGTTATTAATTCACAGTCAGTCAAATTAACTTTGAATATTGATAAATCATTTTCGAGAGAAATGAATAGTTGGCCTTTTCTATAGTACTGTGGGCGGTTGTGCTCCAGGGCATACTCTCGCAGTGAAACTTAATTACGCCTCAAAAGCTATTTATTTTTATCAGCCAGTCTGTGCCATTTTAATTTTCGTCCTTCCTAAAATGTAGCCATACTTTCGGGCCAAATTTTTATTTCCCAGTTAGTTACTCTTTCCAGTGTTAACCATAGCTTACATGCACTTCCAAAACACTAAGCTTAAACACCCTCTTGTCAGAGTTAGAACGACGTCCCATTTCGGATAACAGTCGATTTGTCATGTTGACAATTTTGATATTCTTATCGATTCTTCGAATCAAAATTAAATCGTCCATGCAGGAAAAAACTTAACTACCGGTAAAAAACCACCGTAAAATTTAACTTAATTAATCAATATTTATTTTTTCCGGTATTACTCTCTCGCGGCTGTATTGACTAATTACACCTACGAAAATAGTTAATTGTTGTTTGCCTTTTTAAATACCACAATGACCCTGTTCCATTAATAATGTATACTTGACTATCTGAAGAAATATCTTTTGTGCTGTTAGTTTAAATCGTGCAAACTAAGATTTCGACGTCAAGAAATAAAATAAAGATGGTTTGAAGAAAACCGAAACGTTTGATCTTATAATCGGTCGTTATACATTCAGGCTCAGAGCTCACTATTGTATGACACCAGTTTTTACAGTTGCAAAGAAATGCAACTTGTGGAATAACTGCACGCACACAAATAACCAGTGAAAGTGTACAAGTGTAGTGTGTAAAAGGTACTGAAAAAGCGTGCCTTTTGACTTGGAGTGATGATGCTTGAGGGCGAGCCTTCCCTGTTTAATTTACATCTTAGGAAAATATTATTGAAAGGTCAAAGATTTCACTAAGGTAAAATCTTAACTGCCAGTGAAAATCACGGTCAAAGGGACTGGTTCACGATAATGCGCATGTGTGAGTTCTGACAATAGCTGATTGTTTTTCAACCAATCGGAAGCGAGTTAGATGCACGCAAGTAAATTTACAAAATTCAAATTAATTGTTCGCGACGCGAGAGTATTTCCGGGCATTTGGTTTGATTTTATTTATCCCCATAATTCTAGTTTATTCTTTGCTACTCCTCAGATATATGTTGCAGCCGATAAGAATAATATTTACAGCCCTGTCCTGCTTTGAAACAAACATTTACCAACGTGTATTTTTACGAGGTCGTACCCACGCTAACAAAACAGTCACCGATCGGCAAACAAAATTTGTAAACAAACATCTTATTACGGTTCTCTCAGTTCGCCTTATATAAACCCAGAAATACCTACAAATAGCGCCTGACCGGTGACAAAAACACACAACGTATGAGTATAAAGATTATCCTTAACTGAGCATAAATTTCAATTGCTTATCAGCAAATGAACAAATTCATATACGTTGCATCGGGTCAGTGTTCCGCAAAACAAATGTTATCGAGTAGCACACATAAAAAAACTAGATTATAAACAGAATATTCAGGCAATAATTTATTTTAATAACATCAATTCTTAAATATATACGATCGTAAAGCAAAGATGCAAGGTACATTTCAAGTGTACCAGATCGGTGAAGATCGCGCGGCCTGTTGCGGTATAACTACAGGTCGGAGTCAAAAAGTCAAATCAAAGTTGAACGAACTCACGCCTTTAACCACTTTCCAAAACACCGCACAAGGATCTTTTTCCCATTACAATCTTATTCTAAGAAAACTTTAAGAAAAAATGTCCCGAAAAGCGCTCGAAAATACAAACGAAGTGTGCTCATGCCCCCTGGGCTTCCTATAATACTCCTTAAATCGAATTAATTCAATATGGCGGCCGTATCGGTAAAAAGGTCTATTCAAGCTCTCGTTCTCTCGCTCGCATTTGCCGCAGGAAACATTACAAATCTACCGCTCTCGCGTCCCGCTCTTGAAAAAATTTGAGTTCGACTTGTAGGCAAGTCTATATAAATACCAGTGATTAATTTGCTCCGACGCTGATGGGAGTCCAATTTTTTTTCACCACACTATGATCAAAGACAGAATTGTTGTTTCCAATTAATCACATTTAAAACACAATTTGACATAATTTTAACTTTTCTTTCAGTCACTAGAACTCCCGAGAAACGTCTTCAAGTGTACGCGAGACACTATGTACCAGTGTTTTTTTTCTCTCGCGTGCAGCGATTGTGTCTAATTTATATAATTTTAAAAATCACAGCATAAAGAGAGCATGCCCTCAAGTAGCGCTAAAAGGCCTACTAATGCGGTAGGTTGCAGCTGTTGTAGCGGGGAGGCTATAAATTCTTTAGGGAGGGGATAGTTATATTTCAAGTTTTCTTTTAAAGTTATAGAAGAAGTTGAGACTGTCTTAATGACATGAATGTTAATTCTTTCCTATAAAAACAGAGTCACAAGGGATCTAATACCTAAGAAGAAAAAAAAATTTACTGCTTTTCTACTTAGTGTTCGAGATCTCCAGTTTTACTGATCCATGTCTACACACTCCTTTTTCGAGCTAAGAATAAAAAAAGCAGTGGACGCAGTACGTTTTCACAAATGCAGGCTACCAGATTCTCCACAACAAGCCGGTCCGCTCAAAGCCAAATGACGTAAGACGCCATTTGTAAGTATACAAAATGAAGCACTTTAACAGATTGGCAGAATTCATTGGAAACAATATAATTATTTTATCGGGAGTTTTGAAGACCTGTATCGAGGAAATTGCTGCTCAAAATTGATTGGAATCGAATCAGGCAAAAGCGAGTTTGTTACGTTTCCTAAGCACGAAAATTCCACTACAGAAGGAAAAGAAGGGGAAAACGAGAAGAGCGAGGGGAAAGGGAAGGGTAAGTTCAAGACTTCTCGAGACCCTGGCTTCAAAATTCAAATCCGGGACTTCAGCGTTTTTATCAAATCCGAGCCCGAGACAATTTGTAGATAATGGTATAACAAATAAAGCTATAAAAAAAAAAAAAAAAACGACCGAAAACGCTAATGGAAGCTAGCGACAGCCCACCAATATACTGCTTTCAGTTCGATAACCGGCTGTAACCATAAAGTCTGAAAAATTCTTCTCCTGAAGACCCGACGGAAAGAAAAAACGACAAACCCTTGACTCCAAGACCTGTCGGCAAACAACAACAACAGCAACAACAACTGAAAACTGGCCATGGGACTGGCAAGACGCAAAAATCTATCAAAAAGCGAGTTCCGAGATTTCAGATAGGGGGACAATTTTCCTATATCCATGCACATTTTTGGGGGTACCATTCTTCACCCCAAAAAGAGGACTCCAGAAGAAAGCAATATATATATTCGCGTTCTTAGTTGTTTCTAGTGAGCAGTTATGGCTAAGTAAGGATAACAGAAGGATAACAGGATATCAGAGTAAATTATTTTATTTGTGCTTTATTTTCTGCTGACCTGATTTGCATTACAGTGAAATCAGAGTCAGTGCAAGGAAAACTTTTCTTGCTCACACTTTGTTTAAACATGCAATAGCATGCTCATCCAGTTGAACGTCTCCAGTAGTAAGGTCAGTCCTCACCAGGCGATGCTCCACCCAGTGGCTTTCCGTTGGCAACTTGACAGCCTTTTTTGCTCTGTTCAGAAAAAAATATATATATTGTGTTGTAACCCAAGTCCATTTTAAACCTAAATGAAGTACACAAAGCCCAGGATGAATGCTCTTGACCGATCGCAAAATGACTGGTGCGGCTATGGTCCGGCCGGCCAGTTCTGACTTTTGAAAAGCGCCCCAAGTCACTATTTTTTAACTTTCTGTCACAGTGATGAAAATATTCTACCAACAGTATGTAGGGTGACCTTATACACTGCCTGCCTCAACAAAAGTTTATTGCTTATTGTAATTCATTTGTTTGTTTGGGATTGTTCAGTTAAAGGTTCAGCTGAAAATTCCTCAGAAGTTACTGAGAATGGCAATAACCAATTCAAATAAGAGAAGTTCAAAGAAATGATTTATTTCAAACCGAGGCACAAGCTTGTTGAAATATCGTACATTTAGATATATAAATGTATATATCTGTCTGATTTTGCTAAAAGTTGCCCGTCAAGTTTTGGCTTGAACACGGGCAAACTTTATTAAACTTTACTTAGCCATAGTAAAAAACCCAAATACGGCCACAGTCATGGGTTATTATCACTGGTTAAAGGTACATAACAGTAAAAACACGCGACTAAGAACCTGGTTTTTAAGGTGGCTCAGTGGGCTTCTTCAGGGACAATACCTCCCAAGTTTTATTATAAAGTACGTCCCCGTGAACAAAGATTTCAGTGAAAAAATTGCCACCACAGCTGTATTAGATAATTTGTTTTGATCAGGGTTACAAAATGACATCGGGGCTGCCACAGCAACGAAATGACGCCATTACCTATTTTATTTGCAGCCGTATCTCTCAGCACTGGGAACTACTCTCCCAAAATCGTTAAAGGAAGCTATCTTTTTAATGATCATGGAGAAGGGTGGGGAGCGCCAGATAAGCGTGTGCGACTTGGAAAGGCGCAGAAACAACCAGTAGAGATGACGGAATGGTCGGACAATAATTCCTGAAATTCGAGGTAAACCAAGAAACCGTCTGAAACGTCAACTAGTGAGTTTTACTATGGCAAAGTTTGTTTTACATTCTGTTTACTAAAGCCCAAGTGTGACAACAAAAGATAACGTCAGAGCAAGTTTGGATCGTGATCGCGCTTTAGCTAGTTTCAAGTGACGTTTTCCCCGCCGCCGACGTCGTGCTATCTTAAACTGTTCTATAATATTATTACTTCGAGAAAGAAACTTAAAAGACATACTTGTATAACGTATGGAACTGGCAACGGTGATTTTTCCCATCTTTCAGCGAGAGGAACATGGTAACGTCTCCCTTCAATATCCCCTCGCTAACAGTCATTTTTTGGACGGACGGCTCCCAATTAGTTGTCCTCTTTTGCATCACTGGTCCATCAGCAGGAAAGTTCATCCCAGTGAAAGTGGACTTGTGGATAAAGCAGTTGCGTTTATTACTGTCAAGGCTATCGAAGTAAAAAGTACTTATGAGACAATAACAAAATTTAGATTTTTTATTATTTTTATTATTATCAATATTATTATCTTTCTTAAAATTAATTAATTAATTCTAAATTTTAGGAGTCTTTGATCGTAAAATTAGTAAATTTATACCTTATATCCACACTGGCTATGCAAGATCCGCCATCCTCAAATTCAAGGGTTCTTTCCCACGAGTATCCTTCAGGAAATGATGGCTTGAAATAGTCAACGATTCCCTTAGGATAATCAGTAAAGGCTCTGTTACCATAGCAAAACACAGCCGACAATATGTCAAAGGAGAATGGGAGGGGTGCACCCTTGGTTACTCGCAGTGTCAAGATCTGTTTTCCCCTACAAAAAAAACACAACAAGAATGAAATACAAATCGATTAAACTAAATGAGAAAAGCAGAGAAGAGCCTTTTGAGAACTAGACTAAACACTGCCCATTTATCAGTCTAATTTAACTAAATAACAATAGGGGCTTAGGACAGCCTGCTATATAATTTAAATATAAAATTTCATTTCGATTCTGCAATGCTAATCTCGCCCTTTCACAAGATTAATTGCAAGTCCTATCACGAAACAATATACTTTTTATACCGCTTACTTAGCCTAAAGAATCATTAATACTGTTGAACAGGTTTATTTATTTATTTAGTTTTTATTTGTTCCTTCTTCAGAAAAGTAATAATTAATCATTATTGAAAAAAGTAATTTTTGAAATATAATGTCAGGTCACTTTAGTGGCAGAGTTGTTGAGATGATAGTTTGCGTAAATATGATAATATAAACGACGTTTGATCCTGGCCAGCAAAAAATTGACGATCGTCGTGGCCTATCATTTGCGAATAACACCGTGTTTTGACTAATCAGTGTCAAATTTGCCATTCAAAGAAAAGTTGTTATTGATTTTGAATAATGTAGAATAAGTTACATTTTTTTCTGGTTTTTACTTACGATGATTAGTAAAACCATTTTCACAATTCATAGAGCTTCCTGTTGAACCTAAGGCCACAATATCTCTTTTGGTATGATTGAGTTTTCGGAATCTCTCGCCTTATAACAGTGCAGCTAATTTAAAATAATTTGAGAATTTGACTTTTCATCACAAAAATATCCCGAAATTGACGACTACTCTTATTTCTCTTAAACCTATGACAGTGAAGATCTTCAGTTGCCTTTTACTATGAAGGGGGGTGTGTTGATCGACTTACTCGTACGGCTTCCCCCTGCCTTCACCCTCGATTGTAAAGGAATGCCCATTGACAGATCCTTCCATGTGGTATGTCATCGTCATGTCATCTTTGATAACCTACATTCACAAAATGCACAAAAGTGAATCCACATAAGAGCAGGTGTGGCTTACAAAGTGAAGCTTAAAGTTGTAATTATAAAAGGTTAGGAAACTTAACACCGTTCTCGTTTGAAAAAAAAATAAAAACAAAACAAATTAAGTTGGGCAAAAGTGAAGCTATTCTGAGGGTGAGTATCTACATGTCTCAAAAGATCGATTGACTTCCTATTCAATACTTAGATCAAGTTTACAAAGAAGACTTTTTTTTATAAGTTTATACGCGAGAATCAAAAGCCACTACCTATAGCAAGACTGAACTGCAAAATACCAAATTACTTACATTAGTTGCATTATATTTAACTCATATTAATAAACTTGCGATTGACTTTAAGTAAAGTAATACATTCGGTAAAACCTTTAAGCTTTCGGAACGGAATTCTACTACAAATAGTGATTTTAAAACTAAAAAGATACCTTTTTTTCTCAGTCTGATTTGAGATTTTTAACCTCTTTTTTGCTGTTTTGCGTGATAACTAATCTTGAGTGTTTCACTCCAAAAGAAAGAAACGAATCATTCTCTGTACTAATTTATGCCTCATTAATCCCAGAAAAAGTCGAGTAAAAAGGCCTGATCTTTCATCCAATATCTGATTAGTTCTGATTGTTGGCCTTACGGAAACGTTTTTACAACTACCGTTAGGGTGTGTCATGGCAGTATCCTATCAAACTGCAGCCGTTACATCAGTCCTTATTGCCAGAAATAGGGCCTCATATATATTCTTAGCGTAGAGTTGAAAATTCACTTACTTGCTTTTAAAGAGCCATGTCGAGAAGAAATTGCTTCTTTGTCAAAACGTACTCAAAATTCCAGTTAAGCTGTTGTTGTTCACTCCGTCACCGACTAAGCTGAACTGACTGCATGCATTCCTAGGGTGGATCGATTTTAACGCTAGATCGGATAAAAAGACACACCTTGATTGACGCATTAAAACAGGTTAGGCTGGATCTTGACAGGTTGGTCAGGATAAACGGGACAAATAAATCATTGTTCTTTACTGACAGGTTCACGTGCATGTACTTTTCCACAGCCTTACCTAACCAAACTTGGCTAATTTGTGAATTTCAACTCTTACATAATATTGAGCTCTAAAGCTAATTTAAAAACAACCAATTGAAAACTTTGAAATTAATCTTGATACGATTTCATTAGTGACTTTGTTGTAACGATACCTTACAGCTTCAGCACAAGCCGTTAAAAAACCCCAACAAAGAGCTTACAAATAAAAAAAACTAAAAAGTGAATGTTGAACATCTATCAGAAACTAGAGTGCAATTATCAATAAGCACTTTTATCAATTCTGGAAGGCAGAAAAAGGTATGCTATCAATTACAGCTACAAGGTTTTGCAGAAGAAGTAAAAGTTAATGCTGGTCTAAAAAATAATTATTCCCGGGATCAGGAAATAGATTGTGTTTAAAAAGCTCAAAAAGTCAGGTCGCCGCCTCATTGACACAATTGGAGAGATTAAAATGTCCAGAATATGTCACTTACAAAGTGAAACAGTGAAACGGGGTAGACGATTTGGGAAAAGAAAAATAGGGTCCTGAACAAGAAGAAGACTTTAAATATGGTTGTTCTTGAGTTGTGAATTATTGTTTCAATTAAACAAGATTTGTGACGAGTAGGCTGTATTTAGGGAGGTAATGGAAGTGTCGGCATAAGTTTAAAACGACTACAGATCATGACCCGGTATGGTGGTTAGATTAAACGTAAACTTGTTTTCACCTTGTCATCCATAGCATGAAATGCTTATCAGCAGTCAAGGAGCAGCGAGATCTGCTTGTACAACCGCAGGCTTAATCACTACCGCACTTGACTGACTACATAGATATAGACTATAAAAACATTGCCCGGATATTCTAGATCTCAACTCAGCGACTGAGCTGTGAAGACACTTTTTTATTAGCGTAGGTAAAATTGGAAAGATTGTTGATTATACGTTATCCATATTAAAAACGTGATATGTAATGATTGCCTTCTTAAATTAAGCGTACTTTGAATAAGGTGACTTGTTCAAGGTACAGAAATCTATTTAGTGTCATTAAGTGAAATCTTTCACCCCTAGTAAGCAAGTAACATTACTTTCCAGAACTGACCTGTATTAAGCGGTCATTTATACTCAGAAGTGGTCTCGCTGCGGTCACCTTTTCCGTGTTACTTTTTATTGTCTCCACAAGGATTTAAAGGTCACTTTGTCAAGATGAACCACACCAGCGCAGTAGAAACACTGTGCACAGCCTTTGGCGCTCTTTTGCTTCCTTTTTTGGCACAAGATGAGGTAAACACTTTGTGGACCCCTTTGCCGGGTCAACTTGTCGAGCTATGGATATTTCGCTTGTGTTGTCACCGTCTTGATTTTCTTGATAAACTCCTAAGTTTGTCAAACCTGTATGAAAGGGTCAACATATATTAAGCGGTCACTCAGTCATTCCCCAAAATACATTGTTGACTGTAGTTATTCCAATAAGTTACGTTTGTAACGGAATCAGCGTGAGCTCTAAGTTAATGTAAAGACCGATTAAAATAACAATTTTAAAAGCGAGCGTTTTGCATTTTCTTCAAACCATATTTGTTTTATTTCTTAGCATTGATATCTTTGTCATAATACAGTATATATTTAAGATAATTATTTCTTCGGATAGTGTCAAGTCTACATTATGGGAGTATTATTTCTAAAGCATTAAGTACAGCAACTAAAAACAAATTGCGAATTTTCGTCAAATTCGGCTATCTCATTTTCACTCCAATGAGTCTGGGAAGGTAAAAGTGTTGCCTATGTATGTGCTTTTTTATTTTAAATAAATTAAAAAATATCCGTAAACTTGTGTTATAAGGAATTGAGAGCTCTTAGGAAAGTAACGATCGATTAAAATGACAATGACAAAGATATCAATGCTAAGAAATAAAACAATGACAAACAATCTTTATCTTATGTTCTTGGCACCCACAACTTCGTTTAGTAAAATGTATCTCCCATAGAAGTTCATAGAGCTATGAACGCTAGTCTGCATCTGCATAACTGTTGTCATTTTATCGCGTTTTTCGGGCGAGCGAAGGTAAGCGCGAAGCCACCGAGGAGCGCCAGACCATCAGACACTCGACTGGAGAACGCGCGAATGTCTTGCCTTCACTCCTCTGGAAAACGCAAAAAATAACGGGCTATGCGGGCTATATATATGAATGGGAGCGGTCGTCTTTCTTTCCTCGGAGCTACGCGCAGCGAGTGAAAGAGTGAAATCATGCATCAAAAGAAAACGAGTTAACGCACAGTAAAATAATATTTATTTAGACAGTCAAGTGTATATTACGTTGGCACGCAGCGGGGTCATTGTGCAGATTGTGTTTTACAGCGAGAGCGTGCAGTTGGTAGTACCGAGATTTGATGGCTAAACTCTT